AAAAAAAAAAAATCAAACATCATTTTGGCAGGGTTTTTACAGAGAATAATTCTATATACATGTTATAGACATTGTTTCTATAAAACACACTATCTACAATCTACTTACATTTAATTGTCCTGTTATTTCTAGTTCACATGGGATTACCTTCAGTCACAAATGAATTGGTCTCCCTGCCTCTAGGGACTGTGCCATACCTTAACGGAGGCACTGACGGAGCAAAACAAGATTTTGAGAATCTTATCAACTATCTTGCTTCTAAGAACACACGCCTGGAGCCAGGCGCTCGGGAATGGCTTTGGAGTTAAGGCAGCAATGGAAGATGTCATGTAAGAGTCAGTGTGCCCTTTTAAACTGCTCCAAGGAGCTGCAAATGTGGGCCCCCCCTTTCTAAGTGCACCTCTGAAGTTGAGGGTATAGCCACAGTTTTAGGTTAAGTCCTTCAAGAACAACCTATTAAAACCTTTAAAGTTATAATTTAAGTTTTAAACAAAAATTCAAATTACTTCTCATAAATAGAAATAATTCACTTTTTTTAAAATGGGGATACATTTAGTCACTATCAAAACAACTTAAAACTGGTATATATACCATCTGTTAGGTCAAAATTAAGGCTTCAATTCATATTTGTTAATTAGCTAGGACACCAAATATTTTCAGGACACTAGAAGAATGATATTCTTTTTCTCTCCCATAGAGTTTTCCAGTTTGTCTGTAGCAAAACACTATTCGAAAGTCCGGTCTCTGAATGCATCTCCGCCGTGACCATCATCCGGCATTAAAATAGCTTTTGTCACCCTCAATGTCCACTTCCTGGTCAGAATCCTCTGAGATCTCGGAGTCAGGGTCTTCCCGAGAGGCTGGAGAAGGTGAACACTGAGAACTATCCAAAGAGGCACCTTTACTCTGTTCACTGGGCGAGTCTTGGCTCCGGTCACAAGAAGTGTCCAAATTGTCCAACTCATCCTTTTTATTGCTTTGAGGATTCTCCTGGATGAAGAAGATGAAAATGCAGACAGTGAGCTCAAAGCCATAAAAACCAAAATGGTTTCCCCCAGCCTTTAGCATGCTTACAAAGTTTAGTTTATCAACTGTTTTCACTCCTAAGAAGACACCCGGGAGATTCTTTTCCCCATTAGAAAGAAGAGGGGAAAAAAAATCACATCAGAGAGATATTATACATGACACAGACATATGACCTCAAGATTTTCAGTTAAGGAGAAAGAAAACAAAACTCAGCTCAGTCCAGGCTGCACAGTCCTCGTTCTTTAAATATTACCCCAGTTTTCAGTAGCATTTTTAAAGAAGAAATGTTAATGGCTAGTTTGTTATACCAAGCGCCTCCCCATCCCCACCCAAGAAAAGAAAATAAGAAACATACTAAATTAAGAAGCTGTGAAAATCCTTTTCCATTTGTCTCCTGAAGTAAATTTATGAACACATACACATATAACTATGTACCAAGTTACTAAATCATGGCAAAGGAAAATCATAGAACCAAGTAATACTGATGAAAAGACTGCAATTTGCTTAAAATCTGGGCAAACTGTTCTGGAGAAAAGTTCCCTATTTCATAGAAAGTACTATTTTAAAAATTCTTGGGAAACTAGCTCCAAGCCTTTGAATAAGAATCAAGTCCAGACAGTGCATGTTTAAGCCTGTGGGTGTCTAATATGGATATAAACATTATATAGAAACACTGTAATTCTCTAGTGACCAAGTTTGCAAAAGGTGTACAAGGTTAGCGATGAGAGACAATTCTCAAATACTTACGAATAATAAGAAAACTACAGAAAGTTTTTTGTTGTTTCAAAATGTTCTTTGGGATAGCATCTTTTTTTTTTTTTTAAATATAAAGTTATGATCGATAGGATTTAAAATCTACATTACATTTTCCCACTTGGCAAACTTGTTTCAGGCTACCCTCTCTGTTATTTAAAGCACTGCCAGATGAGTCATTCAGCGGTTGTCAGATAACTGGAAACAAATCTGCAGCTCTCAGTCCCCAGGGCTGCTTTGGAGGATGAGTTAGCCTCCACTTTTTAACTTTATATCTCATTTCTTAACAAGGGTAATCGAAAGACTTCTTAGGAAGCTTAAATAGGCGTGGTGACTTCTTTATGTGTTCTATATTCACTTTAAGGGCTGGCAAAAGATGGATAATAATTTTTAAACTCTTTGATATTTAATTCTTCCTTTTCAAAAAAGTGCAAATAAGACTTAAAGGTGTTTGTGTCTTTATGTTTACCCTCGAGTCCTGCCTGGTTTTATTATGGCTGTGTAAATAAAAGAAACAATTTTCTCCCGAAGATAACTACTTAAGTCACTTACTGTCAATTACTTTATCTTTCCTGCGTTAATGAGATAAACAACATATGGGGTTTATAAAACAATTAGCCGGGCGGTTTACCGGCCAGTGTGTGAAACCCTAGCATAATTGATATAGGAACTGCATTAGGTGCTTTTAACATTAGTGCCACCTGAGCAACTCATCCTGAAGTTCAGCAGGACTATTTGCCTTTTTAATCAAGGTGAAGAGGTTAAACAGTCTCTTCAAATGACTTTTGCATACAACCCATAACAGGTCTCCGCATTTAGATAACATGATACAAACATTTATTTCCATAGAAACAGAGCCATGTCAATACCTGTTTCAGTCGCCTCCATTTAGCTCGTCGATTCTGAAACCAGGTTTTGACCTACAGAAAAGAAAACAAGTTTACAGAAAGTCCCAAATCCCGAGGGACCCGAGGAGGAGGAGGGGAGAAGGCGCTGGGGCTACCAGGAGGACCAGCCCTGCAGTTGGGTCGGACCGAACATGCCCAGGGCGCGCAGTGGTTTCTTCAGCCCTAGAAACCTGCTGGGGCGGTGGGACCCAGTGAGCTGACCTGTCTCTCACTCAGCTGCAACATCTTAGCCAGACGCTTCCTCTCAGGTGGGGAGAGGTATTTCTGAGTCTCGAACTTCTTCTCCAGCTCGATGGTCTGGTCGTTGGAGAACCTCACTTGGCCGCCTTTCCTTTTGTGGAGGGGCCGTTGCAGGAATGGGCTCCAGAGCAAGGGCTTGCCTGTGGGCCAGAAGAACGGCGGGTAACCACGGTCCCGGAGCCCTCTGGGCAGTGCCCAGACCTACCTGGTCCCAGGTAACACAATGGGGGAGGCCCAAAAGCAAACATGTTCCCATCACATACATTCTCCGGTGTACGGACGGATTCAACAGTCCCTCCCAAGGCCCACAGAGTCGGCTAAGATGTTTTAGCACACAGACCACCTCTGGACACTCAGGCCGCCGCACGACCCGACCGTCACACCTGTGGCTCAATGCAAACCAATCTTCTCAACCCCGAACGAACCCCTGCCGGGCTTTAAAAAAAAAACGCGATCTTCAGTGTGCACAACTCTTTGCAAAGGCTCCAGTGTGCGCATTTAGGGGAGAAGCAGGGTCGTTACACTTGCCAAGGCCTGGGCTGCACAGAAGCGCTCGCAGGGCGCTCGTGTTAGGCCTCGAGTGGGGCCTCCAATCGTGGCTGGAGCACACCTCGGCCTCCTCTGATTTCACACTCGGCCTGCGGGGGCGGCCAGTTAAAGCCACCCCGTGGGCTATGGCAACATTTCCGTCAATGTGTTTCCTGTTGGTCTGTCTCAAAAAAAAAAAAAAAAAAAAAACCTTTGCTTCCTTCTGCTCAGGCCCAGCAGAAACCCGAGGAAACCATGGCGAGCTCTGTGAAAACGTTTGCCCCAGGACCATTCCTGCCCCACAGCGGGAGAAAGTAGGGGCCGGTCACACACCCCACAGGCTGAAATTTAAAAATACAAATATGATAACCTTTTAAGTACAAAATGATAACACCCACACCCCAAATCCCGGTAGCGGTGACAAGAGGGGAGCGCTGGAGGCTTCGTCATAATAATGGTGACATTAAAATGCTAATTCATTAAAACGTTAATTGTCGCCAAGGTCCCCAGTGAAACTGCCAAAGTGTTGACTTTAAACCCTGGGGAGCCCTTCCTTATTCACTCTGGGGTTTCAGACCGCGCAGGCGATGAGAGATTCAGGCCCGGAACCCCGTCACCACCGCTGCTTATTTATTTCTTAGGAACACTGTGCGGACCAGCCCCGAAAATCCCATACAGTCAATGTGTCTCCATCGCCCTTCCTAACTGTTCGGGGTCTGCACCTTCCTACTCCAAAGTGGTGGCGGTGCGTCCGTATGTCCGTCCCTCTGTCTTCAGGCCTATGTCTAAACATTTTGAAAGCTGGCATTGTTTTTTCGAGATTTTGCTTGCGTCAGGCTTCAGACTAGTGCAAAACAGCCTCCAAAGGGGGGGGGGGTAAGGCAGAGAGGAAGCAACTGGTTATTTTAGCTGCCATAAAGTCACATCCCACACAGAGGAAATGAACAATATCAGAAAAACGGATCCTGGCTATCAGACGTCGAGTGTTTCCTGAATTTGTCTGTATTGAGGATGTCGATAAAATAATCAGCAGCGTGCACTACTCCGGGGGAAGGGTCTGCTTCATGCAGCCAGGAAAACACTTAACAGCTTCAGAAACCAGATTTACTCCTATCGAGAACTCAAGATTTCCTGTATGAACGGAAAGGGTCAGGCTCCTTCACTGCACAAGCTTGTTGAACCAAGCCCAGCCCAGGAACCGCCCGGCCGGGCAGCTATTCCTGCGCTGCAGGGGCCAGGCTCGGGACGCCCCGACGTCCTCTGCCAGGTGTCGCTCGCTAAGGGAGCCCCACCCGAGGCGACACGCGTGGCCAGGACTGCCCTCCACTACGACCCCGGGCGTCCCAGGCCTCTCTCACCCCACTGCGCTCGCCCCGATGTCTGCAAGGTGCAAGGGAAAGCAATCAGAGTCGCCGCGGCCGCCGAGCGTCCCAGCTCCGTCCGGCAGCGCCGCCGCCGGGGGGCCCCCGCGCCTCCTGTTCCCGCGCGCACCCGCGAGTCGCTCGCTCAGAGCGGTCGCCGCAACCTTCTCCTGCGTCTCCCGTCCGCGTCCGCCCCCTCCCGCGCGCTGCCACCCGCCGGGGGCGCCTTCCCCACGGACGCCCGCGCTCGGCCCCCCGCAGACCCCGGCCGCCTTACCCAGGGGGTCGTGGCGGAGCAGGGCGTGCGTGTAGTCGTTCACCGTCCGCGGGAAGGAGTACAGAGGGCCTCCGAAGCCACCGGAGCCGTAGGCGGCGGCCAGCGCGGCGGCGGGGTGGTGCGAGAAGGCGGGGTGGACCGGCGTGGGCTCGTACACCGGGGTCCGGTAGGAGGACACGAGGCTGGTGAAGGAGGAGTTGGGGGATGGCAGCGTGGGGGTGGGCGTGGGCGCGGCGGGCCCGCGACCCAGGATGTCGTCGATGTAGAAGGGCGTCGGGTGAGCGGGCTGCAGCAGCGGCGTGGGCGCGTACAGCGGTACTCCCACGGCGGGCGCAGCCGCGGGCCCCGGGTGCGGGAACTGCATGGCTGTGCCGCAGCCCCTCGGAGAGAGCTGCCGGCCCGCGCCACCGCTCTACATTTATTTGCGCTCTGCGCTCCCGGCGATAGGCTCCGGCAGCCTCGGGGTGGGGCCGCGCTCGGGTCCCTTCCTGCCGCCAGGCCCTGCGGCCAATGGCGCGGGCCCCGGACTCGCCTCCGCCCCTGCCCCGACCCGCCCCCGCCGGCCCAGCTCCCGCCCCCGAGACGTTCGGGCTGCCGAGCTCTAGGGACCCTGCTCCCGGGTGTCCCGCCGCCGCCCGGCGCTCCAGGCACGAGAATGCGACTGCGACCGTCGAAGAGGTGAGCACAAGGCATGTGCCAGGAACGCGGATCCCAGTGGGAAGGCGCCACTGCCGAAACTCAGGCAGCATCTGGCCCCTGGAGGAGCGATGGGACTCTGCGGGCCAGGAGGTCGCCGACAGGAAGGCACCTCCCGGCGCCGGAGCAACCTCCCGGGAGGCTGCGCTCCTTGGGGGTAACCGTGGCACTGCCTAGAGCGAGGGGGCCCTCTCTGCAGCTCAGAGAGCCAAGGAGAAGACGCTAGCCTTTGGCTGACGTCCCAGACGGGTACTTGCAGCAAGTCTGCAGGTGCTCCAGACTGTCTTACCTGGGAACCCACGAACTCGGCCACCTTCCTCGATGCTGGCAGAATCTGCTCCAGACGGGAATCAAGGCGAGACCTGGATCCTACGACGCCCGGCAGAGGCTATGCAGTGTTCTTCGATCCAGTGGGGGTCGGGAGGGGGGCTGCTACTCCTGGATCTCTGTCTCGGGGGCCCTGAAGGACACAGCTGTGCGCAGCCGGGCGCCGAGGTTTTACACGTGTTTTCGATTGAAAGTCGGAGCGCGCTGCTCAGTGTGGCCTCGGCCCTGTGCGGCTTCACTCGCCTCTGGGGCAAAGGGGCATTTTCTTGATTGACGCCCGCCGGCCGTGACCACACCTTGAGTTGGGCGGTTTCTGCTAAGGGTTTTCTACTGATAGAAAAACTCCCTGGCTTTTTTCCTATTGAGACTTTAAATTTTATGCTTTGGAATTCCATCTTCAGCTGCTAGGGGACTGACTGATGGGGCAAACGAGAAAACTGGGTAGCTGGAGGACCTGGGTTCGAGTTTTCACTTCACACATTTTTCTTGAGCAACTAACTGCTCTGTCCTCATGGGAGCAGGAAACAAATTGAACCCAGTAACATATATACTAGGGAGAAAGCGTGCATAATGGTGCGACACCTTAGGGACAGCCCCTAATTTGGGAAAGGAGAGAGTTACTTTGAGAAAGGGAAAGGAAAGGCTTCCCAAAGGAAACGATGTCTGAAAGATAAGTAGGTGTCAACAAGCCCAGGGTGTGACTGAGTCCCAGTTAGAACAGCACGTGAGTGGGTTACCTAGTGCAGCCTCGGTCAGTTTATTGCCGTGGGCTTTTCTCTTCTGAAACGTTTGGGTCTTGTCATAAAGCTTCCTAACTGCTTGGGGATGGAGACACCAACACCTTTGAGAATAATGGCAGACAAACCAGTGCGTGTGAAGCGCCGTTATTTGGGTTAAAACCCTGGGGGCTACTAAGAATACATCTCCTCCGTGGGTTCACTCAAGAGGGACAGGATGGCAACAAGGCTAACGCTGACCACCCAGGAAGAGAGGGACGCTTGTGATACCTGGAGAACTGAACCATGTGACACTTCTGGTGATCTCAAAGACATCTTGTGCCAGACGCCGTGGGAGGACAACAGACTGCTTGAAGTGGCTTCCGTTGGGCAGCTTGGGGGCGATTTAAGCTTCAAAACTACGTCCTCAGGGTGCTAGTCTGGTAACCTGAGTTTTGATCCACAGAACCCACAGTGGGACAAAGAACGAATCCCACGGTTGTCCTCTGCCCTCCATATGCTTGCCGCGACACGTTATACACAATAATAATGAAGTTTAGAAAGTACATACTAAAGTATGACAATGTCTAAGTCCATTGAATTGAAATGAAATAAAGGTGGATGGGGAAACTGGAGGAATGCCAGGACAAATATAAAACATCTGAGGCTGGCGAGATGGCTCAGCCTATTGGAGATTGCCTCCCTGTGCTCCAAACCTGAGGTTCTGACCTCAAGCTCCAGACCCCACATTAAAAAAGAGAGAGAGGTGGAAAGAGAGACCTCCAATGGAGCACCATGGTGTGAGTGTTCACAACACACACCATACACAATAATAACGAGATAGCTTTTAATGTAGAGAATTTTATTGATTCAGGAAATGAAACCATTCATTCAAGAAAGACTCATTAGACACACAACTCTTGAGTGAAATATTGAGGATGAGGATTCTGAAAAGGTCTTACAGAATTAACCGAATTCTTTGGACTTGGGGTAAAAGAAATAAAAATGAATTGTACATAGATGTCAGTATTTTGCTGGTACTGTGTTAGGTGTGATTTTGGTCTTGTGAGTTAAATATTGGAAAACCCACAACTAAGAGATACAAGCTGCAGTATTTAAGGATGAGGGTCATGATATCTGCAACCTTCAAATAGTTCATTATACACATTATACTTTCACATATGTACACAACTATAAATATATATGTATACATAAGGAAGAAGATAAACCAAATATTAAAAAAATACTAATTGGTGAGTTTAGGTGATGAAATACAGGTTTTTGCTGTGCTATAGTTTTAACTTCACTGTGGCTTTGAAAGTTTTCAGTATACAAACTGGAAAAGAATAAGTATAGTTTTGTATATTAAAAAACTTAAGCACTGTGTCGTAGAGATATTTCAGTGAGTAAAGACACTTGCCTCCAAGCCTGATGACCAGAGTGTGACCACTGGGACATTGTGAAGAGAGAGGACTGACCGACAAGGTGTCTCTCTGACCACACATGCATTGGCTGTGGCACTTACGCACCCACACACATGCACAGTGACTAGGGGAATGGCTTAGTAGTTAAGCATTACTTGCAGAGGACCCAGGTTCGATCCCATGTTCGCTCTTCTGGCCTCTGAGGGCACGTGCATGCACATGGTGCTCATACATTCAAGCAGGCTCTCTCTCATGTAGCCCAGGCTGGCCTCCAACTTGATATGTAGCCAAGGATGATCTTGAACGTCCATCCCTCTGCCTACACACCCCAGTGTGCCATGGTCACGGGCATGTGCTGCTCCCGGTTTATGCAGTGCTAAGAATCAAACCCAGGGCTTCATGCACATTAGGAAAAAACTCTATCAGCCGGGCCACAACCCCAGCCTCCCCTCTTTTATTCTGAGGCGGGGTCTTCCTGAGTTGTCCAGGATGAAATGTGAACTTGAGAGTCTCCTGCCTCAGTGTCTCAGATCATTAGGATGACAGGCCTGAGTCATCACACCTGGTACCACTCACTTGTAAAGTTTTTTTGTTTGTTTGTTAGGTTTGGTTTTTAGTTGTTCGTTGGGCCTATATAAAATTTCACTAGTGTCTTGTCTCTGGAAACATTTGGGGGAGGCTCCTCACAGAATGTTTGTCTCCTCGGGTGACTCCACCACCTACCATTCTCATCACCTGGCCTGATGGAGAAGTCTGTGTGTTTCAGATCCCAGAATGACACAGACTTTGGGGACCAAGTAAGGACCAGTATTATTTGAAGTTCAAATGTGTCTTCAAGAAGAATACCCCCAAAACTGGGGCCTCAGTGAACTAGCAGGGAACTATCCTTCCTCGTGAAATATTTCCCCAACATTTTGTTCACTCGCCTCTTCAGGAATGTATGCGTTTACGGTACTAGTTTAGTGATGCAGCCGCCAGGCAGAAAGATCTAAATCCGTAAACCTTCTGAAAGTAAATATTAACTGCTAGTGCAGGGTTGTTAAGTAATTGCCAGTTAAAGGCGCATCCGTCCACTACTGCAGCCACAGACCTGGGAAGTGGGTGGAGACCTCAGAGCCATTGCTTCTGACATTCCAACCCAGCTACATAATCCTCACCAGCAAATGGAAGCCCTTAATTCTGCTAAACTATATATAACACTGCCTTTTCAAAACCCAATAGATCCGTGTCCACTTTGCTGTAGTTAAAAAAAATTACAACCACATTTGTGAATGTCACATTTCTTGAACTACATAATTTTAATATCACTTGTGTAGGGTTTATAGTTTGTTTTATTGTTTTAAAAGTCATTGGGGGCTCTAAAAGAACTCAATTTTTCCAAAGTTGTCCTTATGATTTTTTTTTCACACAGTCAGAACTAATAAAACAAAACTGCTGTAGCTATTTAATTCAAAATCTCTTGGAGTTTCAATATTTTCTCTCTGCTGGATACTAAAACCAATAAGGCTACATGAGATTTTAATTATATGCCGAATTAAACAAGACTCGCCAAAAATTTGGTGCCATTTATTTTAGTCATTGTTACTGTGCAAGAGAACAAACCTTGCAGAAGGAAAAAGTAGTTCTGGCCTCTCATTTGTCAAAGAGAGCTTAGGTAAACTTCTGCAACTTGCTTTCAATAACTAAGTGCGTGTAGAGTTAAAATTTCGAATTAGCTGTGCTTGAAGGAATCGGTGGATTTTTGCTGTCACGACTTGGTTCTGTCTGCATTTGCACTGAAAGTTATGGTCAATTGTTGGGATGAGTAATTTATTAAACCATATATCAAATTATTTTATCTTATTTAGCATATGACAAAAGCTAAGAGTTTTATTTTAACTAATATATCAAATAAAAATAGTCCATATCATGAATGGTTTCAAGGCACTGAAATAATGGAGGTGACATCACTGTGGCATCTTCACCCACGTTCCCATTTCACACTTTGTAAACTACCACATGCACTTTACAATACTCTGCCGTGGGTGAATTTTACTGCACCCGGACTATATAATTTATGGTATTTATTTGTACAGTTTAAAAAGTGATGAACTGAATAATCAGAGCACCAAGTTTTTCAAATGGGTACAAGATCTGAAGTTGCAGTTCCCCAGAAAAACTAGATACAGGTAGCCAGTAAGCAGTGAAGAGATGTTCAACATCATTAATCACCAGGGAAATGCAAATCAAAACCACGATGAGACACCGCTTTGCACAGGA